CTATTTCTCACTTTCAGTAAAGCCTAACATTTTACCTGCTCGAGAACATTCTATTCATTTAAACAACTGGAGTGTTATTTCATTAGTTTCTTAGTTTTTCAGTTAAAGCAGACACATGCACACATCACACACATATGCATGCACTGTTGTGTGTTTTTTTCTATCACCCCTCCCTCCACAGAGATATCAATTTGCATAAGAGGAGAAAGCAAATTCATTTAAACCCCATTCTAAATTCAGCATTAGAAATGTAATGATCTGTAACACTGACCTTTTTAAAATACTTTGTGGATACACCATTGATTTTATTTGTTCTAAATTTACTTTAAAAGACCTGTTTTGTAAATCACTAAAACTCACGTATTTTATTTACCTATTTGGGATAATATTAAACATAATCTTTGAGGGTGCTATTTTTGTCTATTATAGTTTTATTCTATAACATAGATTGAACTGTTTTCATATCCAATTCATTTTCATTAAATTTTTAAATGGTAGTGGTTTAGGCTTGGGATTAGATAATATATAGCCCATTTGATATAACATTAAAGCATCTTTATTAGAAGTAAATAATTTATCACCCAGGTGCTTAGTTTACGGAGCACTAAATATTTACATATTTGATAACATGTAAATCAAATGCTAAATAAAAATATTTTAATTTGCCATCTTGTTATTTTAGCGTAATATAAACACACTTGCAAAGATTTTAATGTTTTAATGTGAATTAAACATACCTGCACCTAACCTCTTATCTTTCTACCAATCCTTTTTTTTTTGAGACGGAGTCTCGCTCTGTTGCCCAGGCTGGAGTGCAGTGGCCGGATCTCAGCTCACTGCAAGCTCCGCCTCACGAGTTCACGCCCTTCTCCTGCCTCAGCCCCGAGTGGCTGGGATTACAGGCGCCCGCCACCTCGCCCGGCTAGTTTTTTTGTATTTTGTAGTAGAGACGGGGTTTCACCGTGTTAGCCAGGATGGTCTCGATCTCCTGACCTCGTGATCCGCCCGTCTCGGCCTCCCAAAGTGCTGGGATTACAGGCTTGAGCCACCGCACCCGGCCTACCAATCCTTAATATGTATATATCTGAAATAGTAGTGTGTGGGGTGTGTGTGTGTACGTGTGTGTTCATGTGTGTGACAGACAGTGTATTATGTTTTTTGAAATGCAGAGATTAGGATAAAGGAAATCATAAATGCAAAATAAATTCTCTAGAATAATTGTATGCAGTCATTTGTCTATACAATTTTGTTAAGTTTAGCTCATTCATTTTTTTTGTCTCATGCACAAATCAAATAGTTAAAACATGAAGTATGTTCTTTCCTAAGTTGGATTGTGGTTTACAAGCTATTGAAACAACTGAGCATTATAAATATAGCCAGTCAATTTGTTGGGGGCTAAAAAAAAAAAAGAAGGAAAAAAAGAAAATTGAAGTTCTATTTTATCTCCATGCAGCACAATACAGATCCACAACCAAATTCAGGATTTCTGAGCTTGTAAAATATGAACAGTAACTCTTTTCATTCTAGCCTACCTAGATCTATATTTTAATCAATGTAATATTAGCAACCTGTGTAGATGACAATGAGATGAAGATGTGCAAAAATATACCCAACTGTTCCATTTTGAAGAGTCATAATTAATGAGAACACTTACATTTGGGCAATAGCATATGAAATTATAAGACTATATAAGTGTGACTATATTTTTTTGTTGTCAGATAGCCTGTGTCTACATGAATCCAACTCAACCACCTATACTAAATATTCCAATGGCTACGTTAATCTTTTTTAAAAAGAAACAATGTATCAGTCTTTTTGCCTTTGTATAAATATAGCATCTTACATAGATTCATTCATTCCTTAAATATATATTTATTGATCACATGTTATGGGGCTGAGCCCTGTGCCAAACTTGGAGTATTCTGTGTGGAAGAAAAATAAGACAAAATTTATGTCCTTATTTATGTAGTTTCATTTTATTGTACTATGCAGAAAAGAAAGAAAACAATTGTACATTTAGAAGAGATAATAGAGGGCATCCAACCGTTTTATTTTGCACAGAGTAGAAAACTAAGATCCAAAGAAATAGTGTCTTGACAAGGGTCAAACATCTGGTTAGTTCTGTTCGCAGGAGAATTCCATTTTCTGATTTTTCTCTAGTGATGTTGCCCCTATGCTTGGCTGCTTCTACCTAATTGATGCCATTGAAGAATTTCCTTCTGAAGAAGTGAAAAATCTTCAGAATAAGTAACCCCCGCATACTCTGATAAAGAAAATTCAGAACGCTCTGTGACTCCGTTTCTCCTCTTTTGCTTACTTTTGTCAGCTGTTAAATAACATAAGGACATTTTATTCCGTTTCCTTCTGCTTAGCTCTCCCTCTACCAGCTACTTCCAGCACTCATTAACTTATTCCTTCTAACTTACTCCTCACTTTTCCACCCCTCCCCTCTCACCTACTGTCTTCCAGGCAAATTTGTGCCATATATGGGTCAGATACACATTTCAGAAAAAGTCTGCTTCAGTTTTAGAGAGATGTTATTAGTATATGTAACTGAACATGTTACAGTAGACATCCTCTTAGATACATTGTTTCATTGGAAATGACATCAAGTTACCTAAATACCTTTCGGTCACATTTTGTGCAAGCCATTAGCTTTAGAAAACTAATCTCATTGTTTAAAAAAATCCTCATTAAAAAATTGAATACATAGTTTTCTTTTTGAAAATGCTGAACTGAATTGCTCCTTGGAAAAACAAATTTGAGTTAATTATTTTTCCTTTATCTTCTGCACCTTCTATGCATTTTGGAGGGCTTGGAGCATAGTAAAATACAGAGTCCTTAAATTAAACGGAAGAAAAAAAGGAAGGAATGAAGGAAGGATGGGAGGGAGAAAAAAAAGGAGGGAGAGAGATGCTAAAGGAATAGAGAAAGGCAGCCAGGCAGACCAAAAGAGACTTATTGTAGGAATCAAAGCTGTAGCTCTTGTTACAACATGAGACATTCTGATTTGTGGTTTGATGGACTAGCTGTGTGAACTTTATCTTTACAAAAGGAAAAAAGTCTGTTTGCATAAGCAAAGGCATCACATTTCAATTATATTCCCTTTGGAGATTCAAAAGTTCTCAATTTCTCCCTCCTCCAAATACAAACATAAACTCAGTCAGGTTTCTCATCAGCAGAGGAGAAGTTGAAGAACACGTGACTCTGGTAGACAAAACAAGAAGATATACAGACTCAATGGAAATGTCTAGATTTTGAAAAATACCTGATGTGGGGGAAAATTAAAAGAGACGGGAATGGAAAATTCCTTTGCTGGCTTCCTGTTCTCCTTCCTGCTAAGGTGGGATTAGTTACCAGCTGTCAAAAGAAATATCACTTTTAATTCTTATTTTAGGGGGAAGAAAAGCATTAGAAAAAGCTATCCTGGAAGGCAGTGAGGCAATAAGAATATTCATTTTTGCAATTCATTCCTGAGGTTTGAAAGAGCACAAGTTGGGAAGAAAAGGATTATACCTTCTATGAAAAGTGAAGAACTGAGGACGTGATAAAGGCAGATTAATCTCCTTTAAGTACCTCCTAATAAAATAGTCAATGTGGTAATGAAACCAGTTATGAGTTTGGGGCTTGAAGTATCCAAGTAATTATTTGAAAACTCTCCTTGGATAGCAAAAGAATTAATAAGAGCAAACTAGCCTTTAAAATGAGGGCATGTTTTGAAATGAAATCAGTTACCTTCGACACAATTCCTATTCCCATGCAAAGCATTTTTTTTTTTTTTTTTTTTGGAGAAGGATAACTTTTCAATTTATAAGCACTTCTTGCAGAATAGAATTTACCTAATACTTGGGGATGCCCTTCAAATGCTGGGTCACATCTGGTGGATACATGATAGTTTATAAAGCTCTCTCAAGGTATGGTTTCAAGTAATCCCCAAAACGTAGCATAGATCGTATCAGTCAATGTGGCTGTGATTGGAGAGTACTAAAAAGCCAGTACACATGCTCTAAAAATCTGCTTCACTCAAAGCTCCTGCATGTTGGGAATTTCATGGTTGGAAATGCATTCCTTTGCATTCAGACAAGAGCTCCTTGACTAGGGTTAAAAAGCAAGATTCAAAATTGTAAATCTGACTGAATCTCAACTTTATCTTAAGACAGTAGAGAAAATGACTGGAAATAATTTGACAAAAGAAAATTGAGACTTGTGATTGTTTTTTACTCCCCTCTTTGCACTCTTATTCATAGTATCTACAATAAACCTATATAACTTAAACATCCAGGAAAGATTTTTTAAGGTATTCTTTCCGTTTTCCCCACTCTGGGAGAGATAATGTAGCATGATTCAATGTATCATTCTTTCAAATGATACAGCCAATTTCATCCATTTTATTTAAATAATTGTTGAAGTACAGTACATCGTCTTAGGAAAATGCTGAATGGGAATTTTCATTTCAATCTTAGGAAAATTGCTCCTTGAGGAAGAAAATTCAAGTTGGCTCTTTTCCCCCTTTTCCTTCTGCCTCTGATTCCATATGGTCTGGAGGGTTTGAAACACAATAAAACACACAGAGCTCTTCAAGTGATCGAGACACTTCAGAGGAACATTTTGAGAACTGGGATTCTGAAGCAAGAGGACAACTCGGGCACAACCTAGTAAGGCTGTGGTATCAGGGCAGCAAGAAGGTCTTTTTGGACTCAGGAGAGATGGACGATGGACAGTGATAGGGAAGCTCATTAAGACAGTAAACTGAAGAAAAAGGTGAAGAAACCTCTAAAAGACAAGCAGGTTTATTTTCCTAATATGTTTGTTTGCTTAATTCAGAAAAGCATTCATCACTTAGTATTATTAGTACTGAATTCTAGCTTTCTGTTAGTCACTTGGTTGGACTCAAAGATGAATGAGGGAGTCAAGCACGATGACGCATGCCTATAGTCCCAGCTACTCTGGAGGCTGAAGTGGGAGGATTGCCTGAGTCCAGGAGTTCAAGACCAGCCTGGACAACACAGGAAAACCCCATCTGAAAACACACAAAAATTAAAAATTTAAAAAAAAAAAAGATGAATAAGATTTAGTAAGTTCCTACCCATTAATATTTAGAGTTTAGTAAAGGAAATAAGACGTGCAACTAAAAGCTAAAATATATAGAATGAAAAACATAGTGCCTTTAAAGAGTATTATTCTTTATTATTATTTTTGAAATTATTTATTGATATTTATAGTAGGCAAGGAAAGAGTTAGTAAAAGGAATATTGAAGGAAAGATAGGATTTTAAGTCATAGAAATGCAGTTGACTTGGACTTAACGGTGAGAGGAAAATCATTAATCAGAAAAGAGGAACCTTCCTTTGGAGAAGAGTGGATTTTATGGCTTAGCTAGATTTTTTTTCTTTTTTTTTTTCTGTAAAGGGCCAGATGCAAAATATTTTAGGCTTTAAGGACCACAGTCTCTGTTGAGGTCTTGAAGGTCACTGAATTCTGTTGTGTAATATGAAGCCTTCATTGACAGTAAGTAAAAAAAAAAAAAAAAAAAAGGATAGGCCTGTGTACCAACAAACATGATTTATAGACAAAGAAATGTGAATTTCATATAATTTTCATGTCACAAATCTTCTTCTTCTTTTAATTCCCCCCCCCCCCACTATTTTTAATTGTGAAAACCATTCTTAGCTTGGAGTCCTTACAAAAACTGGGAGCAAGTCACAGTCTTCCAATGCCAGAGTTAGAGTGTTCTCTCTAATAAGTAACCCCTTTGTACAATGTAACTTCCTCTTAGGCCAATACTGAAATCTCAGAACAGCAATACATTACAGATTATTGAAAAAGACAATTATTTATCACTTAGAGTTCTACATTCAAGTAACAAATTCTTGTAATTTGACAAATCTTGAACATGCTGCTTCAATTTGCCTCAGTTTCTCTTTCTGTTTGGGGGAGGATTAAAGTTCACAAAAGCTGAACTTCAATGAAGTTAATTTTCAGTTAAGGTAGGCTGAGGAGGCATAGACATGTAACAGAAAAGCCAATCCAGATATAATTTTTATTTATTTGGCTTTAGAAAGTGTTTTTCTACTTACATGTAAGTATGGATGTGTCTGATATTCTGGGAATTTACTTCAAACAAAGAAATGAAGCCACGCAATGACGATCTGACTCAGTTGGAGTTGGGAATCCATCCAGTTTCCCCATCTTGCCTCCTGTCTTGCTCTTCTCCATGGTCTGTTTTTACGCTGTGTTTAGATGCCTCATCTTCTCAGATCAATCTAAACGCTCACCCACACAAAATCACCTTTCCTGAAATTATCTTTGCAGAGCAGAGGGAGTCTTGTCAATTTTTGTGTTTTTTGTTTAAAAGTCTTTTGGGATAGAACTCTAACAAAGTGTGCTGTGCTTTCAAACAAGGCAGTAATCGAGCAGCGTTAAGTGATAATATTGAATAACATCATGGATAAACCACAATGAGAGTTGCTGCAATTGTCATGGAAATGTAGGCATTTGTTTAGTCTTCAATTTTTTTTTTTTTAAACAGAAAAGGCAACCTCTGTATTCACTGCTTACCTGAGATTTATTGATGAATGAAAAGATAGGTCCTTTGGGGTGTTCAAACTCTTCTGCAGATATTGTGTAACAAGCTGCAAAACAGGTCTTCCTCTCAGAATGTGAATACCTTAGTGACAGCTAAGTGTTTGGAACACGAATTATCTATCTGTGGTAGGTGTCGTCGTTGTTGCTATTATCATCCCCATTTGACAGATGAGAAAATGGAGTAGCAGAAACGTTAAGCAGCTTCTCAGTGTCACACAGCTAGTAAGTGGTGGTGCCAACATAAAAGTCCACTTCCTCAAGTGTGTATGCTTTTAAAAACGGAAACAAAACTCTAACAGCCCTCAAACAGCAAGAACCTAGAAAAGTCCTCTTAAATTTGCAGTGTTAACCAAGCCTGACGCAGTTCCCTAGATCCCCTGGCTGCCACTGCTCTGTGGAGTAAGGGAAAAACTAATTCCTCGTTAGCATAACACTTCTGTTGAGCACTCCTGGACACAACTCCCCCAGGTTCTGAAGAGCTTCGGGTGGTTATTTCTTTAGTTCCCTATGGCTGCTTTTCACATTTTCTGGCTCTTTCTCTTGATTATAGCATTACAAACGTACCTCTTCCTTGATCACTCACTTTTCTACCTCCTGGAGATCACTGACCACGTGACCACCTCACCATTTTATTTAACCCATTAGGACTTACTGCCAGGCAAAACCCATACCACAGCGTGCATTGCATTCGCCATCTCAGTCTCTGATTCCTGGCATTGAGGAAAGGAAGACTTTCCAACCCCAGTTTCTGCCATCCATGTTGATTAGTCAGAGGGCTCATCAGCTGTGAACTCCAGTTCTGTGGAACTGTGCAGCACAGGACAAATAACCATTAAAGGTTTGGTAAATAAAAGAATGAATGGATGCTTAACTACCTGTCATTAGCCTGTCTCACTTTTCATCAGCGTGCAATCCCAATCCTCAGCTGCTAAGATGTAGACAAACAGTTCTGATGAAAAGGATTTATTTGTCCTGTTCCAACAGAGTCTGAAAACTAGCATGGGCATTTCCATAGGTCATCTCTCAACAATCCTGTTTGTAAATATCTGAGTCACTTACTGGCATCGTTGAACGTATTTCTGGCCCAGCAAATCTTCTTCCTTTGTATCCCTGATCAAGTAAAAACTTGGTCAGGTTATACTTGGGTGACCTTCACACTGTACCTCCTCCAGCGGTACAGAGGTGGTGAGGTAATCGCTGCCACAGCTGACTGGCTATGGCTTGCTTGATAAGATGCCAGGAGCTACCTATGTAGATCCCAGGGAGGAACTGTAGGAACAAACCAGTGTCAATGGTTAACTCAGGTTCTTGGTGTCTGGAGCTTTTCTTTTCTTTATTATTAACTAAAGAGCATTCTTACTATTGCCCAGCTGAGAGCACCTAGCTCTTAGATTCTCTGTGGGGACAGTGAATAAAGGTAAGTGCTATTATTGCTATGGATACAGCGTCATTCAGTCTATGTTTTGCTCTTGCTGGCATCTGTGTTTGGAGAGCAGCAACGCTCTGTTTCCAGCAAATGTAAATATTAATGATCAATTAAATGCAATGAAGATAATTTTTTATCCAACTGCTTTAAGTAGGAATCAAACAGTGTGTCCTTAAATTATTCTGAAGCTTTGGTCAAAAGTAGTCTCACATTGGTGTTTACGGAGTCTGTTAAACAGCCCTTGCCTGCTATTATATTTGTAAATGTCTAAAAGTGGCTTTATTATATTCATACCATATGGAGTATTCTGTCATGTCTTTCAGAACCAGATTATTGCATCTTTATGCACTTATGAACATACAACTGCAAATATTGAAAAATATGTATTTTATGCCCCCTCCCTTAAAACGCTCAGAGAAAATATACATTGATTTGTTTTTAGAGTTGTGTATAATCATTGAAAGGAAATAAAAGATCCATTTTTTCTGCATTTATTTTAACATAAATTGAAAGTGAAGAATTTTCTCCTTTTGTTTTCACCTTGATCCCTCTAAAGCTTTTTTTTCTCTTATCAATTAAAATCTTAAAATTTTATTTTGAGTATTTATTCAGAAAAGTGTGAGCTTGTAAAACTTTGCTCTCTGGATGCCATGAATTCTCTAACATATATAATTGAACAGTTTCCCTTGTTGTTATATTTAGGTAGTAAATAATAACTTTTCTATAAGCCAGATGAATTGTGATCATGCATATTATATGGACTGAAAGGTCTTTAGAAAAAGAGTACTAGAGTATTTCTGCTAAATATTACTCCTATGGCTAGTGAGAGCCAGATTCTTAAGAATAAAAAAAATACATGAATGCATCTTTGTTACTTCAGTATGGGAAATGTAGACCAGCCACTCTTTATGTCAGATTTTAACCAATAAAGGAACATGAAGTACCCAAACCACAGCTGTTTTGCAGAATACATTCAAGGAATTCCTGAAATTCAGCCAAAAAGAATTTAAAAGTGAACAAGGTCCAGAGTTCAATTCAAGTCAAAAGCAAGAGAGAAAGAGAAAGAGAGAGCGAGCGAGCTTGAGTAACTAAGAGATGTAATCCTGCTTAAGTTTATTTTTAGAACATGATAATTGTGATAAATCTAAGATTATTAGTCTCATACACAACAAGACCCTGATAACATTTGAAACTGGAAGAAAAGACTGCATTGGGAGGGGAATTCAATATTTGATTTTGATATGTTTTTCTCAACAAGAATTTCAACTTGGGACTGAACAAGAGTCTTCGAGGATATTGAAAAATACATGTTTCTTCTATTATATAGCTTAGTGGTGAGTGCAAGTTAAGACTTGGCTATAAATTAATTGAAAATTAGAAATGGAAAAAATGTATAATTTGAGGCAAAATATGTAAAGGATATTGAAAGTCAATATTTGGCACCAAAACAATCCAGGTATTCTCTTTGTTAAATTAGTAAAGCCCACCACTTGTCCTTATGTAAAAACTTGAGTTCCAGCAGAAGAAGATCATTGGGAGCCATTTTCAAAGCTACCTCCCAACATTTTCCATGATAAATGGAACTGTCAAAGAAGTCTTCGCTAAGGGGGTGATATTTAGCCCAAGACCTGGAGGTGGCAAGGAAGTGAGCCATGTAGAATCCTTGGAGAAGAGCAGTTCAGGCAGATGGAACAGCCCTAAAGCTGAGGTGTGCTTGGCGAGTTAACAAAACATCAGAGGCCAGTGTGGCTGAAGCAAAATTGCAGGAGTGAGAGGAGCAAGGAATCTGTGAGGTCGTTTAGATGTGCCATAATTTTTACCAATACAGGTACGATTCTGCAAGCTACAAGTGTCAGAGAAGGTTTTCGAGGTTAGAAAAGACCATGGGAAGTGTAGATTTAGACAGGTGGAGGGATAGGAGTATTATGGATGACAGGCTGATGAAAGAAGTGAACAAAATATAGATGTGAGAATGAGCAGAATTAGCGTAAGTATGAGAGCAAATGAAGACAGGCTCCTCCAGTGTACCCAATGGAGTAAAGAAAAAGGTTTCTGAACATCAAGGCTGTGCTGAGGCTAAGAACATACTCACCAACATGAAACTTGTAAGGGAAACACAAATCTCAACACAGAAGCCAGGCCCTCTGTAGCTCAAACCAGATGTAGTCAAGAGACAGGCAACTAAGAAATCTAAGTAATAGTAGATTTCATGTACAGTAAAAAGAATTAGAAGTCTTTCTCCAAATGCCTCTTTCCTTATTAGGTGGTTTTTGTTTTGTTTTGTTTGTTTTTTCCCTTGAATTTTGGTGAGTCCATCCATCAGCTTTGGCATCTCCAAATGGTCCCCTTGCTGGAAACCATGGTAATAAGGACTCATCTTCTGAAATGTCTATGGGAAGTGAAAGTAAACTCAAATAGCTGATTCTTGGATAAATTTTTTAGGCCCAAAGGCCCAGCTTCAGAAAAACAAAATGGTTTATCTGAAATGCATTGCATGAGGTACTCTGAAATGCATTGCATGAAGAATGCTTTCCTGTACAAAGATAGTTACATTTTGCTTTCTTAGCTGATTAGTCTCTGCAGACTAGGAGGAGAATTCTTTTTATCATCATGCTTTAGGCCCTGTGGACTCTAGGCTTTGCAGTTCTTTCACTCTGTTAAACACAAGGGGTAGATGACTTTATTTTTTGTATAGCTGCTTTTAAATGAAAAAGATAGGATCAGATTTTTTCCCTCACCTTGCTCCAGAAAGTTCTACTCTGAAATCAAGGATTTGGATGCAAAACACAACATTCTAATAGAGGCTTCTCACTATTAAATGCAACTTTTACCAGCTACCGTGGCTCTGCCTTCTCCCCCTCCTAAAACTAGATCTGAAACTGCTGACAGGTGTATAAGAAAATTTTAAAAAGTCAATCATCTGGGGAAGAAACAGTCCCAAATTAGATTTATCCGACAACTCTGCACAAAAAAGGTGATTTTTACCTTATCATGTTCCAGAAAGATCACCTCCATTCCTAATTTTATTTTCCTTATACAAAAATAGCTTTAAAGACTCCCAATGGTTACATGACTTCAGATTGTGTTTTGTAAGATTTGCTCTCCTTTTAAGTGAGAAACAAATATTCACTTATCTTTTTTATTTTTTTTTTAAGAAAAATGTGTGTTCTAGCAAACATGACCAAAAACACTTCTTATTTAGGTAAATTTTAATTTTTTATCATATCCCATTTTAAATCAGAGCCATGTTCTCACGCAATCAATAAACATTTATTAAGTGCCACTGTACTGGACAGTCTGGGGACAAAGATAACAAAGACCTGGTCCCTGCCCCCAGCCTGGCAGAAAAAGGCATGTCTGTAAATAATTAAGAGCCATGCAATGGTCCAGCACCATCATAACCTAAGGTACAATTAGCACACCAACCAATTGAACTTTTTTCCAGGAAGGCAAGAGGATGATAGCCAGGTTTGAGGCAGGTTAATATTGTCCTGGGCATGCTTGTGGAATTAAGAACTTTTAGACACTGAAATACCATTTTCACTATGAACTCTATTACAAGATTTTCCACTGTCAGCAACTCTGACAGTTCTCTTAAAACGGTCTTTTTCTTCTCCTAACGTTTGGTTATTAGTCAAGGATCTCTAGAGAAACAGAAGAAACCGGATACAGGAGAGCGAGAGGGAGAAAAACACAGAGAGATCTTAAGGAATTGGCTAAAGCAATTATGGTGGCTGGCGAGTATGAAATCTGTAGGGTGGGCTGGTAGAAATTCTAGTACGAGTTGACATTGCAGTAATGAGTTCAAATCTGCAGAGTATGCCTGAATAGGAAACTTGGACGGAATTTGTATGTTACGCTTTTGAAGCAGAGCTCCTTTCCCAGGAAACCTTGGTTTTTGCTCTTATGGGTTGCAGCCGATTAGATAAGACCCATCTACATGATGGAGGATAATAATCTGCTTTTCTGAAAGTCTACAGATGAGAAATGTTCCTCACATCTAATATGTATCTTCCTAGCAATATCCAGATGGGTGTTTTATCAAACAACTGGGTACCATAGCCTAGCTAAGTTGACACATAAAATGAAACATCACGATAACAGAATCCAACTTCATCCTGATTGTCTTTTGCCATCCAGTTATTAGACATTCTATGTTTCAAGCTTCCATTTCTGTAAGAGAAATTAAGAATCATACTTTAGTAATCATATAAATATTAAATTTCATAAAATGGAGCTGCCTAAAAATGCCATCATTTGCATATGGAAGCATCCATTAATTTAGTACAGCATTTTTATTTTATGATTTATTTTTATTTTTTTTTTAGATGGAGTCTCACTCTATTGCCCAGTCTAGAGTGCAGTGGCACGATCTCAACTCACTGCAACCTCCACCTCCCAGGTTCAAGCAATTCTTTTGCCTCAGATTCCCAAGTAGCTGGGATTACAGGCACCCACTACCACGCCCGGCTAATTTTTGTATTTTTAGTAGAAATGCGTTTTCACCGTGTTGGTCAGGCTGGTCTTAAACTCCTAGCCTCAAGTAACCCACCCACTTCCGCTTCCCAAAGCGCTGGGATTACAGGTGTGAGCTACCATATCTGGCAATACAGCATTTTTAATGCTATGGCTTTTTTGTAATGCAACTTGGTTAGAGAGAAAATGATTTTTTTTAATTGAGGTAAAGAGTAAGTTATTTTTGAGACACTGTGACATTGCTTCCTCTTCCATTAAAATCACTATCCATATCATATATTTTGGCTGTTATATAATTTCCTCCATGTTTCCATGCAGTTCACATGTATGAGTCCTGCCTCTGAATAACTGTGTTTACAGTAGTAGCAACATACCAAGATCTCTGAGAAACCATGAGAATAACATCGTATACCTTTTAGAAGCATTAATTTCACTCAATAACTTGGATGGGGAGTAAAAGAACTAAGTAATTTTACTGATAAACACTTTAAAAATTATTTTCATAATGCAGGTAT